CACACACACACACACACACACACACACACACACACACACACACACACACACACACACACACTGATCCAGTTTTACCCCAAAGACCGTTGTAGCTGATGACACATCCAGAAAGTGATTCACTTCAGTCAGTCTGCATGCTGAACCCCCCAAACACACTACAGCTCTTGCGATAAGCTGTTAAAGAAGTTGCTTGAATCCAACACGACTCCAGGTATGAAATAAAACTCCTGCTTCCAAGTTGATTCAGTCACTGAAACAGAGTTGAATCAACCTGCTGAAAGGATGACAGAGAACTGGAATAGGATTTAACTCCATAATCGGAATAATAGTCACATTGTTATTGTCTATAACGTGGTCTCTATGTCTTGCTTCTGAAAGCAACCTCACATCGGCGTCCAATTATATTTCCACAATTAGAAATGTGGATACGCGTGATCCAAACTGCACTGAACTTATCACTGCACTCAGATTTTGACCTGAGCTCAAATGTAAAAACCTTAAAAAAACACCAACACAAAGAGCTGCAGGCCCAGTGAGGCAGGCTGAGCTCTGTGTCTTTACAGTACAGTCAACAGTGTACAAGGAGCAGTGAGAGGTAAGAAGAAGGAGGAAAAAAAAGTGCTTCCTTCTCCGCGGATCAATATCAGCCCAGCAGGAGCCGAACAGGAACCGGCATCGACGCACTGTGTGGAGCTGACCTTTCCCACTCCCCACAGGTCATACCTTCCTCCGCCGGAGAGGTCACCGGGCCAGCCGCTGAAGGGGCCATTAGGAGGCGATTTCAAGAACTAAACAAGCTTGCATATATAAACCAGCATTTCCCCAGCGTCTGAGATGCATTCACTTTTTATTTTAAAAAAGAGTTTTAGGCGCTTTTGGTTGGCTGATAGTGTAAATACGCGAGGTGCACCATGGGGGATGTTACAAACTCAAAGTAGATTTTTCAGGAGAAAAAAAAACACATTTTTAAGTATGACTCTAACTGGTTCTAATTGATCTCATTGCCTGGTTGTAATCAGCACAGTCTCCACCTTTTTTATTTACTACATAGTTCTGGGAGCCAAGTACTGTGAGCAGCTTGTATAACAGGAGGCAGCAGCTCCATAAGAACAGACTGACTGAGTGAGTGAGTGCCACTTGCTGCTGCTGGGGAGAGTCGGCCTGCAGCGCTATCCACCATCACTAACAAGTCCCACTACGTGTTTGCTGCAGGTTTCTGAACATCCATGATGCACACGAGAATATTAACAGCAACTCATTCACACACAAGCATGTTTGCAGCTAGCAGTCTCACACAACAACACATTAAGAGCTGACAAATGTAGTTTTTTTTTTTAATTGAATGCATCTAAAGGTTATATTTGTCTTTTCCATCAGCTCGGACCATCGTGAACCTGTGTTCGTGTTATAACAGCTCACAAACAGTAATGTTTCAAACTGTCTAATCTGAAGTGTCTGTGTTTAAATCAACATCTCTGAATGGATAGCAGGGCCATGGGAACATATGGACAAGAGGTTTCGTCCATATAGGTCTAAGCCAAGTCAAGTTCAAGTTCACGGCTGTCTCAGCTCAGCACTCTGCAGTAAAGTGTCCAGACCGAGGGGGGAGGGGGTTTACATTTACAGGCTGTGTTTTCAAATAAACTCAGTAACTGACCTGGGAAAACAGAAAGTGGGAAGATCTGATTTGTGGAAGAGAGAAAAAAAAATAAATCTTCCCCTTTATGAACACACTTGTATGCACACAAGCCCCGAGTGTGAAAAATGAAGAGACGATGCTTCAAGTTTGCTTGTTTTTTCTTCTTCATTTAAATGTCAACAAATAAATAAATAAAATTCAAACGCATGATTGTGACTATAGCTAAAAATGAATTCCCTTTTGTAATTTATTTTAATACACTCACAGTTCAAATGAATTCCCAAATCTCGGGGTTTATTTACAGCGTCACAGCAGCCACATTGTTCAGGGCCTGTGAGCAATGGAGGTAAAACACACACACAATGCTCTTAAATCCAAGGAGAAGAATTTAAGAGCGAAGAGATTTTTTATCAAGATTTGATGCCTACATTTTAACTGACACCTTATTTTTCCCTTCTTGGGAATTTAGTTCTAATTCCAAAACAGAGTTAATGCCTCGCAAAACAAGAAACTCACTAAAAGCTGCACCAGCCGCACAAAGCATGAAAAAGCAAAGGAAATATTTAGCACTTGCAACACCTTTTATTATATTTGTATGCAGTAAAATTCTTATCACAATAAGGAAGAAAACACCTCTTAAAACTTTCAACAAAAGCACATAACGAAACAACTGCCCATGTTTAGCTCGTAATTGTACATATTTATAGTAAAGAAACATTCTTTATAAATACTGTTTCATCTGTAGCAAGTAAATACCATAATTTAATTACAAATGGATAAATATGGCAGCTGATATTTACAAAAGGATGGATGTATAGTTACAGAAAACCGAACGGCACAACGTTTATTTTCCTCACAATCTTCCAGATAGTATTTCACAATTCAAACTTGCAAAGCACAAAACATCACAAGTTAAGCCCAGCAAACTAAAATATACATTCACAAGCATAATATTGTGGTCTGTTTGAGTTAAATGTTAACTTTGGCACTCTTTCCAGTTTATAGATGTTAAGTATAGTACAATCAATTTGCCTTAAGATCACAATATTCAACATTATAGTACAATTTAATCGTAATATGTGCACTAAAAGTCCAGTTAGAGAAATAGCTACCATTGAAGGAACATCTATACACCAAAGACTGACAAACTATCACAACCAATGGGAAAAGTGGGCTTTTAGTAATTATTTACAATATGAAATACACCTTGAATATTATACATATTTTCCTCTGTTGGATATCATCGTCTTCCCTGGTGGATCAGAAGTAACAAAATAAAAAATAAACAAATGTTTGTGTGCCTCTCGTGTGCACAGGTCCCCCAAAATCTCCTGCTGGATGTTCCAGTGCTGTGAAAAGCGAGTGTGTGTCGCTTTATTTCGCCTTAGTCCTAAACATACCATTCACTGAAATTGGAGGATAGGCCACTGTGACTGGTGGTGTTGTGGACGACTGAGGCTGGGGACATGGTGGTGTTGCTCTGGGTCTCGGTGGTGGGGGACACCAGGCCTGGAGGCGTGGAGGATTCATACCCAGAGCTGGCTGCTGGTGATGAGTCTGATGCTGGTGGGGAGGCTTCGTGGACCTGAGGAAATTAAAAAAATACAAATGAGTATTTAAAACCTGACGTGTGCATGGGCTGAATAAAAATCCTCTGAAGTTAGATGTGAATTAATTATTCACACTCCACAAAAGTACCACTAACATTTGCACTTATGTGTAAATAACAAATAAACACAAGTATTCAACAGATATTTCCTGAGAGAGGATTTTTACCTTCATGTGTTTTCTGAGGGAGCTGGGGTGTGTGTAGGACTTGTCACACATCTTGCAGAGATAAGGTTTGTCCGACGTGTGAACGTGCATGTGTTTCTTTCGGTCGCTGCTGTTTGCAAACCTTCTGTCGCAGCCCTCAAACTCACACTGGAACGGCTTCTCTCCTGTAAGGAGGGGGGAGGAAATAGAAAGAAGACACAGTGAGATATTTTGCAGAGAAATGCCTCGGGCAGAGTGTTTAACAGCAAGGATCTGTGCGCATCATCCAGTGCGTAAAATTCAAATCCAAAACTTGTGAGTGTGGAGAAATATAATTGTGTTAACTAGAAAATACACAGCTTCAAAACAACTCACACCACAGTAACAATTGTTTTAGCCTATGCAAAGATTGAAGCGTATTTAGTAAATGGGTTGGGGGGTAGCTGCTACATCTTATTTAGCCTAAATAATGCGCATAGTGATTTGGAGGGGGTGGGAGAGGGGGAGATCAGGCCGTCCTCAGTAGGCCTACAGAAGGCGTACCATTTGCTAGGAGACAATAAAAATCTAATTAGCACCTGAGCAACTCTGTGGCACGGCACCATCATGTATTTCCCAAGAAAATAAGTCAAAATGTGAAAGGCTGGTAATGGCCCCCGTCTATCACCGTAGCTCCTCTATCTAAAGGGACGCTTTGCAAAACAAAAGGCAAATCCTCCGGCATGAGGAGCACCAGTGCTCGGCCAAAAATCTACACAACACACACTACTTCACGATTATATCAAGAACAAATCGATCCTGAAATACGCGCACAAATGTGCCAATGTGACAAATGCATGTGCGTAAAACTGGAGAAGCGATTTGATCTTTCAGAAAAAACCGCGTACTACCGTGAACACGCTACATTGAAGAAACTGATATGATTTACTACGAGCCCTGCAGCTCTACGGTGCACACTACACGCTCGCACACTCCCCTTTGACCCATTTTAAAGTTTACCCACAAACACCCAAACCTCCACACATTGAGTTCAAATTGTTTTTTCCTGTGCGTAAACGTTTCACTGAAGAAAAACCGATATACAGTGCTTGTGCGTAAACTGAAGAAATAAATGGCACCAGTTTAAACTAACTAACTCTCTGGACGTGCTCTCAAATGTTCTCTGTTTCTACTTTCTTACTATCTACTTAAACAGCCTGAAATAGCCGCTGATAATCAGATCTTAATGTGTGTTTGTCTTGGCAAGGCGCGTTTGGAACCTTAACATCAACAGTACATTAATTACACTTACACGCTTAAGTAACAACAACAACAGACGCCTTATCCTTTTAAATAAAATCAAGAAAATATTCTGGTGCGTAATAATAATTACCTGTGTGTGTTCTCTTGTGGATCTTCAAGTTTTCCGACCGTGCGAAGACCTTTCCACAGCCGGGGAAGGGGCATGGAAAAGGCTTCTCCCCGGTGTGCACCCGAATGTGGTTAACCAGTTTGTATTTCGCCTTGAACGGTTTGCTCTCCCGGGGGCAATCCTCCCAGAAGCAGACATGGTTGGTCTGCTCCGGTCCACCGACATGCTCCACGGAGACGTGCGTGACCAACTCGTGCATGGTGCTAAAAGTTTTGTTGCAGCACTTCTTCGGGTTGCTGAGCTGCTCGGGGTCGATCCACTTGCAGATGAGCTCCTGCTTGATGCACTGCTGCCTCATGTAGCGGAAAAAGGCACCGGGGTGGTGGTGCGCTGCCATGTTCATCCCCATGTTCATATTCATGGAGCCGTACTGGTTGTGGAGCTGCGCGGCCGAGTACGGGTCGGTCCTCGGGCTGGAGACCTGGTGGTACTGCTCGGAGCGTCCGAAAACTTCTCCGGGTAGTCCGAGCCTCATTTGCCCGTTCAGGACATTCGGGGATCCGTGGGAGCCATGCTGCTCGTGGATCCCGGGGAACAGAATGTGGCCTTGAGTGTCTGTGTGGGAGTGATGGAGGGATCCCGCCGTGGGGCCAAAAATAGTGTGTTGGCTGCTCGCCGGAGAGGATTCTCCGAAGCCACGGCTGCGAAAGAGAAAGTCCCTGGTGGAGTTGAAAGGGGAGCTTGCATACGACGTGACATGGGCGGCGTGAGCCCCCAGAGCCGCAGCGGGGTAGCCTGGCGCCTGGGTGGTGAAGGCAGAGCTCTGTCCCGGGGAGAGATCATGGTTCAGCTTAAACGCGCCCATGTGTGCCGAGTCTACAAAGCTATTCTGTGCCAAACTCAAGTCTCTCTCCTGCATCTCGCTGGCTGAGTGATGCCTGGCAAATGAGCCCACTCCCAGTCCGGGGAACTGGTGACCAGCATCCAGTAACATTATCTCAGAGAACGAATTTCTTTTTTTTAAATGTTTAAATCAGCTACAGCGAGTAAGTTAAAGAGAAGGAAGGAAAAAAAATCAAATGCTGATGCTGGTGCGCAACGATTCAACTTCCAACCTTGGAAACACCATATCAGGTGTGATTCAAAACGTCGCTCCGGTCATCAGGGAAGAAAAAAAATCAGCTCGTCTTTATGGAACACTGGATTTCAATCTGGAGAAGTTGAGAGTGAAAAAATCCAAATGAGACGAAGTGAAGACTTTCCGTGTCCCCTCCTCTGGACTGCGACAGTTGGCTGCGTTAAAAAAAACGCACTGGAAGAATTAAATAATTATCTTACTAGGTGTCCTCTGCGCACACAGAGCGAAAGTAGTTGGAGCATCTCAGTAAAAATCGCTGCTCCGATTGGGTATGTGTTTATTTCTCTGGCTTGCCTGCCTTTAACGCGGAGGGTCCCTGTTTCTCCGTGGACTGGCTCTACCTCCTCTTCCGCCCCCTTTAACTGGAGCCCGTTCATCCAGTCCTCGCAGTCTCATTGGCCGCCAATGAATCAATCCCAGGTGCCCCTCCAATAGCAGGTAGCGCTGCGGCGACTTAATAGCGCATCGCCATTTTCCACTAATAATTACCGCCTACTTTTAGGGAGAACATTTGGGGGGCATGGAGGCGAAAAGGAACACGACTTGGGAGAGAGGAGCGAACGTGTTTCTGTTGTTTATGGCTCATAGGTATCATGGTGTGGAGAGTTAAATGTACAAAGAAAATGACATTACAGAGGGATTAACATTAAGATCAAGAAGAAAAAATATGTGCCATGGTAGGAAATTTGTTTGGTTTTTTTGGTTTTTTTACGCAGCGTAAATATATTATAAAGCTGTTTATATTTCCAAGCAACAATAAAAAAGACACTTTTACGATATTCCCTGTTATTAAAAACGTATTAATTATAAATCCATGATACCCGGACCATGGTGACACTGTTAGGTTCAGTACGCATGTCAACACAGCTGTAGGAAATAGTTTGAATTATGCGCAGGCACCTTCACATATGAAGCATCACACACTGTTTGGATATTAAATGATTTCATTAACTAAAAAGTCTCAATCGTGGGGAAACTGAATGTCCAACAGGAACTGTCGTTAGATATTTATGTAAAATGAAATCTTACTTTTATTATTGTATTATTATTTTTAGTAAACTCAGTGTGCATGTTACTGAAACATCTGTTTTAAATACAAGAACAAATAATAATAATAATATTTTTTGCAATTTGGAGCCATTTGATGATCTTGGATATTTATATATCTAAATAATCTATACATAATTAAAGATGTAGTTTATTGCATGATTCAAATCTCACTAAACTTAAACTAAACACAGCTGAAAAAGCATGTGTGGCTCCAGATGGTGTTCTGTCTTTTTCTTTTTTCACTGCTTGTAAGAACCACAACTGGGCCTGTAGTGGTGCTCCACCAGTGGTTGTTGGTTCCTTTTAATAGTTCCATATGTTGCTGGTTCTGCCTCCTCGGTGGTTCTCACATTCACCACACCAATTAAGTGACATGTCACGGTGGCGAGCTGCGCTTTAGATCCGAGTAAACCATTAGTGGAGTGTTTTTCTTTTCCTCAACTCGCGATGGGAAAGTTTTAAGCAGTAAAAGTCACGTCTTTAGAGTTGATACGGAGTGAGGGTGTAATGGTGCTTCGATATGCGAGTGGGCCCTTATAGAAAACAATGATCGCACAGCCACACTGTTAACTAACATTTTCCTCGTGGGATTTCCTTTTTGGATCTAGCACAGACACGCACGTTAAAAAATAGAAGGAACAATTTGACTGGCAACTTTCCACTGCGAGTACGCATGCACTCAATCTGCTGTACCCAGGCTATAGACTGCACCACAGCTGCTCATTCACAGCACAAGTCAAAGGAAGGAGGATATACTCACGTTTTCTCCCAAAATCAAAATACTCCCACAAGCTCTCCTGGTTCCAACACACAGCCATAACTCCCTGAGCTCTCCGGTGTTCTGTCAACCGCAGAAATAACGTTGAAGGCTGAAGGAAACGTTTAGAAGAAGAAGGTTTTTTTTTTCTTCTTCTTTTTGGGGGAAAATGTGTCTCTTAGCTCAGAGTGGGACAGGCTGCGCGTTGTGTGCCATTCTTCCAAGTCTATTTCGACCCGCACCACAGGAAACACAGGAGCTGATCCAAGTTCAAAGTCACGTCTGCCGACCCCTATAAGAACTTCTTTATTTCTCTGGAAGAACCACAGAACCTTCCCCAGGAAGAAGGAAAAAAAAGCGAGAGAGAATTAAAGAGAGGGAGAGGGGAGGAAGAAAATCTACCGGGTATAGCGACACATGGCTCAGGGTTCTCCCTTCTGTCAGGGGAAGAAAGGGGGTCTATTGAAAATCCCCCCAAAGAGCAGTATTTCAACAGGTTTTAGATGCAGCAGCTCACATGCAGACCTGAAGTATTAGTCAGGGTGTGATCTGGAGTTAGAGGAGAGTTTGAACGCAGCAGAGATTCTCAATAAAATCAATAGAGCTGATCACATTAGGAAGCTTCGCCTGCATGTGTGATAATTTGAGGAAGGGGGGACAGAAACATATTTTCTCCCCTCTGTTATCTGACAATATCAATATGTTGACACACTGGAAGGTTACTTGTGTGCCTCTCCTGACCTTGTGTTTCATGGATGTTTGACCTCTGACCCGTTAAGACCACATATGTTGCCCTCTTGACTCCTTTTGGTAAAATAACCCTGTTTATGACAAAGCGCCTTTGTTTTAGAGTGAGGGAGAGAGAGGAAGAGGGGCACAGGGAGAGAGAGGGAGAGAGAGAGATTTAAGACGTCCCCCTCTTTCGTCTGAGGCAACGACAGCTTCAGGTCATTTGGAAAACCACAAGCCAATAGTTTAGTTTAATAGTTTCCCTTTATTACTTCATAAATTCTAATAATTTAATGATCTAATTTTTATGTAATTTTAATATATATGTGGGGAAAAAACTTGTCGTTCTTGTTCAGCTTGTTAGTGAATGCTTTTACGTCCCATTCATGCTGCGTTTAATTCCATGTGTTTGTAACAGGGGTCCTTAAACACATCACGAAGGATGCACCCACTGCCCCTCTGTGTTTCTGGGACATTTCAAATATGAATTTATAAAAGACAACGGGACATACGTGTTCATACATGGGGGATTTACAAAAAAATACAAATACTAAAATACAGATATGACTTTGGAGTAAGTAAAATAATAGCTGGTGTTAAATAACGTGATGGATGAGGAGGCACAAACAATCTTATTTTACATTCATATTTTTGTTTTGTGCCAATTTTTAAAAAGTTATGATTGACTCAAATAATATATTCAAACCTTTCGCTTCAGCTGCTGCTGAAGTTCATAAATCAATTCCAGCAGAGGAGCACGTGGGCCATAACATGCACCCCCCCCCCTCCAGTCTTACGATAGAAATCAATTATTGCTGATTGTTGATTTATAACTATTTTTTAAATACCAGCTCCTGTTCAAGTTGCACAATCTTCGCGCGACAAACAGACACAACTTGTGGTTCGAAGCCAAACGCTCCCAGATCGATAGGAAAGGTGTGTGAATGAAGACATATCGATGACACATGCACGTCCTGCTGTCAACAGGGACTATTCAAACGGCTTGATCCGTCACAGGAGGTGAACAGAATCTGACATCAAATTCTAAATAAAATGTTCAGTTAATTTGCTTGAAAAAAAAAACCATATGACCCATTTACAGGACCTGTCCATAAATTTACAAAAACCAATAATAATTATGGATTAGACTGAATCAAGCTCGTCTTAGTTCACTGTTGAGCGTTTATACCTCTTGTAAAGGTCAGCTTTAAATTGTTATATATGTAAGCCAGGCCTTAAATTGTTTAATGGGAATTTTTATTGAGGCATAATGGGAAAAAAATCCCTTAAATAAAAATTGAAGACATTTTTACTGGCTTTCCTAAGTTCAGTACTATATTGTGATTGAAATGACAGCCTCGAAATCCCATTCAGCCTAAAGCCTCTACGAGCTGTGGTTATATTATTGAAATCCACCTACACAGAGAATGAATCATGTGATACTGGTGATGATTAATAACCTCTACGGGGAGAATGGTCACATTAAATCTGCTGTTTTATATTTATTTACTTGTTTCCAATAAAATAATTTACAGCCAATAATTCAACTGCAGTGCATTTCCACAGGTGCGGTTTTTTTTTGTCATTTTATATATTCCCAGTTGGGCTGTGTCTGGGGTGCACGTTTGTCCAAATGCGTTTTAAAATGTCCAAAACCCAACTTAATGTCTTTATGTCCAATTCATCCATGCAGCAGCACCGCGCGTAATGTCCCCCCCTTTTTATTCCCACATGGAGACGTGGAATCAAGGCGCAGACACTTGGACACAGCAAAGCGGAGACAAACTGGGCTGCACTCGTCACACAAACTGACATTTCGGCTCATCCACATGCGGCAGCGCCAGTAAACAGAAAGCCGCGCAAACACAACTGCTGGTAACTCTGTGAGTACAACTTTTTGGAGTCAACAGCGATAAAGGGAGTGAGGGGGCGGAACCCTGCTGAGCCCCTGCGCTGAACGACAGCCAATCGCTTCGTTCCCCTAACTGCCAGTCACCGAAATCCGTCCAATACCCGCAGTGCCATTTCTAAACTGTATTCCCCACTGTGTCCTCCAACTGTTGTATGTTCTGCCAATCGCTTGAGGACAGAGTGGGAAAAGGAGCAAGCAGAGTTAGAAGCCGGACAAAAGAACTTATAGAGCCCTTATATACATATTTTCCTAATGTTTTAGAGCGCGTGGTGCGGTGAAAAACAATTGCGGAGAGTGCGGATGGACTTGTCAGTGTAGTTATGGAGCCCCTTTTAAGCAAGAGGAATCCAGCGATAAGATTAGCGGATTTGGCAGCGACTCAACCCCTTCCTCATCAGAATATGACAGGCTTCCCGGGGCTAGGGGGGCATCACCCTCTCTCCCACCATGCCCACCTCCACCCTGGGGAGCTGGGCAACGACCCCGGAGTGGCACTCACTCCATTTGGACCAGAGCACATGGCACAGACAAATGCTCTCAAACTTAGCCCATCTCAGCACATTCAGAGCCATCCCGAAGCCCAGACCGCGGCATCTTTCACTTCTGCTCAGACCACAGTTGGTTTCCCCGTGGCTCACCCCCACTCAGGCTACTCAAGCAGCAGGGACTTCATCCTCAGGAGAGAACTCTCAGCCTCTGCTATGCATGCACTTGGCGACCAGCATAGTTCCGCCTCCTCCCCTCATCACCATGGCATGTTCATCTCCCCAACAGGTGCTTATGGGCACGCGGAAAGTGGGGCCCATTCACTTTTTACTGGACTTCACGACCAGGCGTCCCCAGGTGCCCACCACCATGCCCTCAATGGGCAGATGCGCCTGGGTATACCGGGGGAC